CGAATGTACCTATTTCTCACCCTAGCAAGAGTACTGGTCTCAGTGTCAATGTTGTATCCTCTGTATATTTGTACTTAAAAGGTTTATGTTGTGCAGTATGTCGATATGTTACCAGATTCAGCAACATGCAGGGCCTTCTAAGTCGGTATAACGACACCAATAGCTGTCAGAGAGTCTAATTCTCGTGCATTCAATGAAGTGAGCTATCTCCGATAATGGACATCTGATACAGCTCGTTTTTGCTACAGACCTATTTTTGGCTGTGAATCTTAGATCTGAATGTAAGATGCAAACAAATCGTTTACTTGGAAGGAGTTACATTAGCTTTCCCAAGTGCCAGGATTCTTGTCATACAATGTAATTGTTAATCTTATCCTGTCTCTCTGCATTTTTATTCGTTTGGTCTTTTTTTTTTGCTTCAAATGTGAACATTAAAAAAAAATAAAAAATTACATCTGTGCTGTGTGAGAGAAATAAAAAATATAACGTGAAATCCCTACATGGTTGCACGCTTACGGCAGTTCCACACAGTAGTTGGCGCCAATGGGGTTCCCAAGGCTTGCATGTAAAGCTAGTATAGATGTCTCTTTTTTGTAAGTTTTATTTTTGTAATTGTGCATGTAAAACATCACTGAAACTAATGGATCTGTGGAAGAACTCAGCTGCTGGAACCATGCAAAATGTTTTGAATTGCCCTTAAAATATGGAAAATGTTTTCTGAATGCTTTATATTCTTTCTGCTGTAAATTAAAAACGAATTAAATTTCCCCATATTCTGTGTAGTTTTTTTTATTTACTATTTTACATTTTAACACGCATGCTTTCTGATGTACTCTACAGCATAGCAATAACTGATATATAACCAACTAGGAATATCACAATATTCTATTACAATACAATAAACTTGATGGCTTATTGTGCTTTCTGTGGATGGAAATTACTGGGCAAGCATCATTTTCTAGGAGTTTAAGTATTATGTTTACAAATCTACATGTATTTAGCAAAGATGTGTTGGCAAGGTTGAAAAAATTAAATTAAAGGATCACTATAGTGTCAGGAAAACAAACCCGTATTCCTGACACTATGTCACCCTTGGGGGACCCTCACCCTCAGGGTCCCCCTCCCGTGGCACTGAATGGGTTAGAACCCCTTCAGCAGCTTACCTTAATCTAGGGCCGGGCTCCCTCAGCGCTGGTGACCTCTCCTCCCTCGCCAGAGCCGCGCGCGCATTCTAACAGTCCATAGGAAAGCATTTCTCAATGATTTCCTGGGGACGTTCTGCACGCTGGAGGCGAATTTCGCGTCCAGCGTCGCAGAAGCGCCTATAGCGGCTGTCAGGAAGACAGCCACTAGAGGTTGGATTAACTCTGCAATGTAAACATAGCAGTTTCTCTGAAACTGCTATGTTTACATGTGAAGGGTTAAAACCTGAGGGACCTGGCACCCAGACCTCTTCATTGAGCTGATTTACATTTAAATGTAAAAATCTACACCTCTCTATCCTGAAGTAGAGTGTCTCCATATTGGCTCCCTATCAATTCTTGTTATACGCTCTGCCTTCCTGTCAGTCAGCAGACAGAGCAATGGAGAAGAGGAGAAACAAAACAATGTTTTGTTTCTCCTCCGCCAAGCAGTATGTGCCTTAACCCCTTAAGGACCGAGGACGGTTCAGGACCGTCATCGGCATTTTCCCATTGCCAACCGCTGACAGTCCTGAACCGTCCTAACGGTCCTAGTTACTTACCTGATCGCCATCGTTCCCCCGGCGGCGATCGGCGGTGCTCCCGGTGTGGGGAGACTGCCTGCAGCCCAGACAGTCTCCCCACACTGAATTAGGACCCCTGGGGCCATGTGATCGCTTAACACAGCGATCACATGGTCACAATAGGTGTCCATGTGTCTGCCTGCAGGGGGACTGTCTGTGCTGACAGGCAGTCTCCCTGCAACTGTAAAATCAATAAAAAAAATAAAGTTAATGTTAATTTAAAAAAAAATAATTATATATGTGTATATATATATATATATATATATATGATATATAGACTTATATTATATCTATATAATATATGTCTAAATATCATATATATAATGTCATACTAAGTGTATATTTATATTAATATGTACTTATATTAATATAAAAATACACTTATAATTAAATTACACACGTATATATATAATATATATAACAACTATATATATTGTATATATATATATATATATATTATTATAAAATATAAATAATAAGTAATTTAAATTAATTTTTTTTTTTTAAATTAATAATAAAAATTGGGAAAAAAATTATATATCTATATGAAATTTTATTCTAACTGTATTTTAAAATTAATATATATATATTTATATCAAAATACACTTAGAATGAATTTGTATATATATCTATGTATATATAAATAAATAAAAAATAATACAAAATATACATATGTCCATATACAAAATTACATAAATAATTATATAAATATACACATAGACTTCAAATATATAAATATGCATATATATTTAAATTCTACGTGCGTATTTATGTAATATTTTTATATAATTCAGTAATTTTATTGATTGCAATTTGAGGGACCTGCCTGCCAACCCAGGCCGAAATTCCAGAGAATTTAATTTGCTAGCACTGTATTTTACCCTGTAACGTTCTACGACACCCTAAAACCTGTACATGGGGGGTACTGTTTTACTCGGGAGACTTCGCTGAACACAAATATTAGTGAATCAAAACAGTAAAACATATCACAGCGATGATATTGTCAGTGAAAGTGTGCATAACTATACACCCCCCTAAAGTCAATACTTTGTAGAGCCACCTTTTGTGGCAATCACAGCTCCAAGTTACTTTGGATAAGTATCTATGAGCTTGCCACATCTTACCACTGGGATTTTTGCCCATTCCTCCTTGCAAAATTGCTCCAGCTCCTTCAAGTTGGATGGTTTGCGCTTGTGAACAGCAATCTTTAAGTCTGACCACAGATTTTCTATTGGATTGAAGTCTGGGCTTTGACTAGGCCATTGCAACACATGTACATGTTTACGCTTAAAGCACTCAAGTGTTGCTTTAGTAGTGTGTTTGGGGTCATTGTCCTGCTGGAATGTGAACCTCCAGCCTAGTCTCAAATCACGCACAGAGTGGTACAGGTTTTGCTCAAGAATATCCCTGTATTTAGCACCATCCATCTTTCCCTCAACTCTGACCAGTTTCCCAGTCCCAGCTGCTGAAAAACATGATGGTGTTCATTGAGTGATGTGATGTGTTGGGTTTGCACCAGACCTAGCGTTTTCTTTGATGGTCGAAAAGTTAAATTTTAGTATCATCAGACCAGAGCACCTTCCTCTATACATTTTGGGAGTCTCCCACATGCCTTTTCGCAAACTCAAAATCTGCCATTTTGTTTTTTGCTGAAATGTAATGGCTTTCTTCTGGCCACTCTGCCATAAAGCCCAACTCTGTGGAGCGTACGGCTTATTGTCGTCCTATGTACAGATACTCCAGTCTCTGCTGTGGAACTCTGCAGCTCCTCCAGGGTTACCTTAGGTCTCTGTGCTGCCTCTCTGATTAATGCCCTCCTTGCCCGCTCCGTGAGTTTTGGCGGGTGGCCGTCTCTTGGCAGGTTTGCTGTTGTGCCATGTTCTTTCCATTTGGTTATGATAGATTTGATGGTGCCCCTGGGGATCATCAAAGATTTGGATATTTTTTTCTAACCTAACCCTGACGTATACTTCTCAACACCATTGTCCCTTACTTGTTTGGAGAGTTCCTTGGCATGTGTTTGGTTAATGGTGCCTCTTGCTTAGGTGTTGCAGCCTCTAGGGCCTTTCAAAAAACGTGTGTATATGTAATGACAGATCATGTGATACTAAGATTACTTTTGTGACTTCTGAAGGTAATTGGTTGCACCAGAGCTTTTTATGGGCTTCATAACAAAGGTGGTGAATACATACGCACATGCCAATTTTCTGTTTTCTGTTTCTAAAAAATAGTTTTATGTATATAGTTTTCTCATTTGACTTCACCAACTTAGACTATTGTGTTCTGATCCATCACATAAAATTCAGATTAATAAAACATTGAATTTAAGGCTGTAATGTAACAAAATAGGTAAAAAGTCAAGGGGGGTGAATACTTTTGCAAGGCACTGTATGCCCTACTTATGTACCTCTCCCCATACTCCACACACCTTTCTCCATTTGTGTTTCTCTCCCAACATTACCCTCTCGTTCCCCTTCCTGTTTATCCCCACATGTATCTCTACTTATAGAAAAATTGAAGGTGAAGGCTGATAAGAACCATTCGGTCCATCTTGTCTGCCCAATTTCCTAAATACTTTCATTAGTCCTTGGCCTTATCTTATATCTAGGATAGACTTATGCCTATCCCATGTATGCGTAAACTACCTCACCATGTTAACCTCTACCACATCAGTTGGAAGGCTATTCCATGCATCCACTACCCTCTAAGAAAAGTAATACTTCCTGATATTTTTAAACCTTTGCCCCTTTATTTTAAGAGTATGTCCTCTTGTCAAGGTAGTTTTTTTTCTTTTAAATATACTCTCCTTTACTGTGCTGATTCCCCTTATATAGTTATATGTTTCTAATATATCCCCTGTCTCGTCTTTCCTCCAAACTATACATGTTAAGATCCTTTAACCTTTCCTTGTAAGTTTTATCCTGCAATCCATGAACCAGTTTAGTAGCCCTTCTCTGAACTCTCTCTACAGTATCAATATCCATCTGAAGATACGGTCTCCAGTACTGCGTATGATACTCCAAGTGAGGTCTCACCAGTGTTCTGTACAATGGCATGAGCACTTCCCTCTTTCTACTGCTAATACCTCTCCCTATACAACCAAGCATTCTGCTAGCATTTCCTGCTGCTCTATTACATTGTCTGCCTACCTTTAGGTCATCTGAAATAATTACCCCTAAATCCCTTTTCTCAGATGTTGAGGATAGGACTCTATCAAATACTCTGTACTCTGCCTCTGGGTTTTTACGTCCAAGATGCATTATATTGCACTTATCAACATTAAGTTGCCACATCTCTGACAATTGTTCTAGTTTACCTACATCATTTACCATTTGGCTTATACCTCCTGGAAAATCAACCCTGTAAATAGTCATATCGGCATAATCACAAGGTTAGTTCCCTCCTTTTTACTCTACTCTTTCAATGCTCTATGTTGTGGACTTCACCTCTTTACATAGGTCTATTTTTTAATCATGGATAATTTTAATTTAGCTAGTTCATGAGAGTTAAGGAGTGTTCAGTCTCTCGCTTTTGGAAGCTCCCCCAGTAGACAACCCTGTTGAACAGGGCCAGCACTACCATAAGGGTGCACCGGCCCTGGGGACGCAATGTCAGGCTACTGTCAGTCTCTTACCCTGGTGTCTGCCGCAGGCTGTGTGGAGGGGGCAGGGATATGAATTACATCATATCCCTGCTCCCTGTGTATCACACAGCGGGGCTGGCACTCAGCGATGGGGCTGGGCTGCAAGACAGGACTCCACAGAGTGGGACAGCACGCACCCCAGGGACCAGATTGAACAGTTGTAAGTATGTAATTGTGTCTGTGTGTATATATATGTATGCATGTATGTATGTCTCTGTATGCATGTATGTATGTCTCTGTATGCATGTAACTGAATGTATGTTTGTCTTTGTATGCTCTTGTATATATATGTCTGTATGCATGTATGTAACTGTATGCCTTTATGTATTTTTATGCACACATGCCTGTATGTCTTTGTATGAATGTTTCTGTATGTATGTGTCTGTATGACGGTATACCTCTGTGTGTATGTATGTATGTCTCTGTATGTATGCCTGTATGTAGGTCTCTGTATGCCTTTATGTCTCTGTATATATGTCTCTGTTTGCCTGTATGTTTCTCTATGCCTGTATGTCTCTGTATGTACGTATGTGTCTGTATGTCTCTGTGTGCCTGTATGTATGTATGTGTCTTACGGTATGCCTGTGTATCCATTAATGTCACTGTTTGCATGTATGTATATATGTGTATGTATGTGTCTGTATGCCTGTATGTATGTTTCTGTATGCCTCTGTATGCATGCATGTACGTTTGCTTGTATGTATTGATGTGTCTATATGCCTCTGTATGCATGCATGTCTGTATGTGTGTATGTCTCTGCCTGTATTTCTCTGTGTGACTGTGTCTGTACATCTCTACCTGTGTGTCTGTATGTTTCTGACTGTATTGTGTCAGTATGTCTCTGTATAATTGTTTCTGTGTATGTATGTACCTGTATGACTTTGACTGTGTGCCTGAAAAATGGTGCCTGTGGCTTGGGAGGAAAGACACACAAAAGGATCTGGAGGGGAGGGAAACACAAAACGGTTTGAGAGAAAAAGAGCCACACAGAGGGACTGTGGTGGAGAAGGAGACAAATAAAAGGGGCTGGGGTAAGAAAGAGACACAAAAGGGGCTGGGGTAAGAATGAGATAAAGAAAGGGGCTGGGGTAAGAATGAGACACAGAAAGGGGCTGGGGTAAGAATGAGATACAGAAAGGGGCTGGGGAGTAAGATACATACAAAGGGGGTTGTATGACACACTAAAGGGGGAGTAAAATACACTAGAGCACAAAAGGGGGGGGGGGATTACAACAAGACACACAGATGAAGATGCGTTTTTATTCACCTGTGTAGTTAAAAATCCTTGCACCGGCCCTGATGTTGAGAAACACATACCGCCCAACATTGGCATCCCAAGAAGCAGTACACTGGTGGGAGGGGAGTGTTGGCGGGTGTCAGGGTGGCGGTCCGGTGCCCGGGACCCAGACACTGTCTGGGCGGCGGTCGGACGACCGGGACCCAGTATGCCTGATGTTGAAAGTAGGAAGTGAACAGTGTGGAAGTGGATTAGCAGGGTCTGGTGCAGGGTAACCGCACGCCCCCTGGTGTTGAGCACCAGTGTTTGTGCAGCCACATACAAGGACCCTGATGCAGCTTCAGTGGATCCCAGGAACTAGGAGGTTGGAAATAAGCAGACCTTCCAGGAGCTGAATAGGGAGGCTCTGCAGCAGGAATATATCCAATACAGAAACAAGGCAAGACTAGAAAAGACACCAAACATGAAAACAAGACAGAACTAGTAGAACCCAGAACCAGAGAAGGATAGGAAGCTAAACACAAAACATAAGGGAAACATTAACAGAACAGGGGCAGGACAGGACAGAACTGTACATGGACAGGGAATACAAAATAAAACAAGACAAGATATAATAGGCAAAACAAGAGGATACATAACTAAGTACTATATGTGAAAAACTATGGGGATTTAGTTACATTATATGATCATAAATAAACAAAAATTTTTGGATCCAGTGGGGCTGCTGGGCTGAACAGCTGGCGTGCGGGCGTAGAGTACGGGTGGCGAGGGAGCAGTGATCTTTATGCTCAGCTCCCTTGTGCCTCTTAGTGATACTGGGGACAGAGTGACATCATATTCCGGCTCCGGCATCACTGTGGTGAGCTTGAGAGAGCTGAGCAGGGGAGTGTGCTCCCTTGCTACCCGCCAAATCGCGGTGGCCATTTTGTTTGCCGAAATTACGGGAGAACCCCAATTGGAAAATGCTGATATATACGATACAATTTCCCTGCTTTTGCCTCTTATTATTGATACGCTTTAGTTTTCTCAGATTGGTCTTTATAAATGGCTTAGTCTAAGTTTACTCCGTGTTCTATTCTGGTGGGCTTTGGATTTTATCATGTCAACGTTTCCTACTGTCTACAAAATGAGACCTCATCTGAGAACTTATTTTGTCTCTTCATATATATATATATATATATATATTGTCACCTTTAAATGCCCTGCTTTGGTAGCCATAATATCTGTGAGGAAACGATCTACGAATCAGGCAATATTCTCAGAAGAATATTCACTAAGCATTGCATAGGTAAAACGATTTATTTTCCAACAGGCTGCTTCGGCCAATACGCATATTCAAGACAGCTACCTGAGCTTCAGCTAACAAGTTCATTAAGCATTATCCCTTGGATCTTCATGTCAAGAATTCGAGTTTTCACAGAAAGGTGCTTAAATGAAAACTCCAAAGAACTGCAACCATTACAGTGTTCTATAGTGGTTGTGGTGCAAGGAGTACTCTGTGCCACAACCACCACCCAAACATAAGGTTAGACTAAGGTTAGACTAGGACTTCCAGGCACCATAGCAACTTAATTGAGATGAAGGGAGGGTGGAGAAGGAGGGCATGGTGAAGAGAAGGAAAGAGTAGGAAGGAGGGGAAATGAAGGGGAGGAGAAGGGAGCAAGAATGAACAGGGGAAGAAGAGAAGAGGGTAAAGAAGGGAAGGAGGAATAAGGAGAGGGGACGAAATGGAGAAAATAAAGGGATGGAAAATGGGAAAGGGGGTAAAATTGAAAGGGAAGAACATAGAGAGGGCAATGAAGGCGGACCTTTGTTTAAGAAAAGTATCAAAAATGTCAATCAAAGATTAACATGACGTGAAATGGTGCCCCTGTCTCAGGTGGGTGTCTCTGCCACATTAGTGGTAACCTGCCTGGGTTTCCGTCGCCTTTGATCCAGAGGCACTGCCTGTAGATGGATATAAGCAGGGAGGTAATGTTCTAAAAAAGTGGTATTCAACCTGGTCTCTACCACCCACTAGTAGGTGATTCAAGCTTTCATGGTAGGGGGTGGTGGCTTTTATCTGCGACCCTCGGTTATCCGTCACAACCGCATGCTCCGCGCAGGCCCTCGCCTCCCTCCAGCCATTGAGAGAGACCTCCCAAAAAAGATCAACACGCATTGCATCTATGTCTCAGTTTGCTAAATCTCTTTCGATGGCTACAAGGAATCGGGCGCGCAGCTGCACCCTTGATCAGGACTGATGGGGGCGTGATAATGTAACACACAGGAAGATGAGGGTAGCTGATGCACTCGATGTGAAAGCAGAGACAGGAATAAGTGCGGCGTTTAGTGGCTAAAATTTATCTTTGACAAGCTAAATTCTGTCTTTTTTCTTTGTTAAGCTAAGTTTTGTTATTTTCTGTTTACTTGGTTTACTTAACATATAATAAAAGAAAGAAGGAAAAGTAAAAGAAGTAAACCAAGGAGAAGGACAGAAAAGAAAGAGAAAGGAAAAAAAGAGACTCCAGATTTATAGCTATTCCTTTTTTCTGTTTTATTTTGTTGTTGTTGGCTAATAATAAAGTGGGCTACCAAGTTCAGCCTTCATGCTGGTGATTGCAATAAGGAAGGAGAAAAAAGAAAGTAGTAAAATGCAAAAAATGAATTTTTATATTTAACTTTCTTTTTCTTCAATTTAAGCAGCTCCCACACTAGCAGGCGCTGCATCGATGGAGATGCGGAAATTCATTAAATTGTAATCACATATGTGTAAACAAGCATTAAAGTGACACTGTCATGGCCGCATCCGTTTTTTATTTAACCCTCCTTCCGACTACACTACATTTAATTTCCCCCCCTAGTTACCACCAAATGCCCCTAGGTCCCCCATATAATTTTTTAAAAAATGGTTTTTTTTTAACCGGACCTAGGTCCTGGGCAACGCCATCTTAGTGTGGGCAGATGAAGGCCCTGTGGGACATGTCATCTGTCAACACTAGATAGTGCTGTGAAATTCCTGCACATGCCCAGTTAAACACTTGAGCATTCGGACGGGAATTTCGTCTATTCATTCGTCAGAAAGACGAATAATTGAATAGAAATTTCAAAGGAATGAACAAAGACTTCTTCGTTCGTTTGGTTTATTACAAGGAGGGAGCTACTGGCTCGCGGCTTCCTCCTTGTAATATGTGAAAATAGAAGTGGGGGGAGCAGTGCTCTCCGCCATTTCCTAACTCCCCCCATAACACCCTGTCATTCTATGAGGGTCAATATGACCCCCGTATTAGCATAAGGGAGATTAAAATCTCCCGAATGCCCCTACTCGCTATGCCACGAGTAGGGGTATGTCTACTAAACAGTGGCTGCTCACTGTAAAAAAAAACAAAAAAAAAACACCCACTCCCTGAATCAAATAAAGGGGGACCTGGCACATGGTGGGGCATTTTCTAAAATAATTAACAGGGGAGGACTATGCAATGGAACTGTCCCCCACCCATGATTGGCAGCTAGTAACAAAAGGGAAGACCTACTGTCTCCCCCCATGGCCCCCACCCATGCGTGGCGGGTGGGGTCCCTAAGTAACAAAAGGGTGGGGATCTATGGTCTCCCCCTGTCCCCCACCCATGAAATATAAACAATACCCCCCCACCAAGTGACAAATCACTGAAGCATTTATGGTGCTTGACGCAATATTTTAATGTAGTGGTTATGGTGCAAATTCCACAGTCTATCAGATGTAAACAGTGACTTTTCTGCCTGGCTGTGATTCAGAGTTGCTTATTATTTCGATCCTGCAATCTTTGCAGGCTCACGTACGGAATGAGGAAATCAAACGCTCCCATAGAGATGCATTGGGAAATTGCATTTGATACCTTTTGAAACGCATGTGCAGTGGACCCTCAATGCTATGGAGATCGTTAGCCAGAAGTGGTGTGATTATGGCTTCATAAACAATGTGTGTTTTTTTTTTAAAGAATTGAGCAGTGAGACTGTAGAGCAACTATCTACACACACACAAAAAAAAGTTTTCTTAAAGGGGCACTGTAGACACCCAGACCACGTCAGCTCATTGAAGTGGTCTAGGTGCAATGTCCCATAGCCTCCTCCTGTAGAGGCTGTCTAACTCTGGTCCTTTATCTGACGCTGGACGTCCTCACGCTCTGCATGAGGACCTTCAGCGTCAGATTTTTCCCCATAGAAAAGCAGTGATTAATGCTTTTTTTATGGGGAAATCCTACTGCAAGCACAGCCATTGCCGCGCATTAGGTCTCTCCTGCTGGCTGACGTTGGCGGGGGAGGAGTGTGGGCTGAGCCTTACCCAGCGCCGAGGGAAATTGGCACTAAATTCAGGTAAGTACCGCAGGGGGGTGTGCGCGAGGGAGGGGAGCATTGCAGTAGCCTATAAAACAGCTTTGTTTTCCTGGCACTATAGAATCCCTTTAAGCCAAAGTTGTTTTGTTGTAAATCCCCTATCGAAAATGTTTAATTTCATCCACGGAAGAGTCCAGAATAGCTCTAAGAGCAGCTAAATAAACAGCACTCCCTTACTGGGAATCTGTGGAATATTCTGAGCATATTGATGTCTCCATTGTACAGCGCTACGGAACGTGTTGGCGCCTTAGAAATCATAATATTAATAGGCAGTCTGTGAAAACTTAATGTGTCCATGTTACTGATTGCACAGATAGTATTACACGGGTAGTCACACTCATAATGGGAGTACAACCATTATAGAGCCCAGACTGCTAACATCAATGGATGATGGGCGTGGTAGTCTCCAGACAGGCAGTGGGTGATGGGCGTGGTAGTCTCCAGACAGGCAGTGGGTGATGGGCGTGGTAGTTTCCAGACAGGCAGTGGATGATGGGCGTGGTAGTTTCCAGACAGGCAGTGGATGATGGGCGTGGTAGTCTCCAGACAGGCAGTGGGTGATGGGCGTGGTAGTCTCCAGGCAGGCAGTGGATGATGGGCGTGGTAGTCTCCAGGCAGGCAGTGGATGATGGGCGTGATAGTCTCCATGGGCGTGGCACACACAGACTAGCTGGGAATGCCGGGAGTTCCGGTGTGCTCACGCGGGACTAGCTTCCTGTCCATAGAATGCAGGAAGGAAAGGCTGGAAACCGTAACATCGTGGACAATACCCACTGCCCAACCCTTGGCGTCGGACGTGCCCCGCCCAATCATAGCCCCGCCCAGTGACAGCCTTGTCCAATCAGAGCCTTGCCCAATCACAGCTCTGTCCAATCACAGCCCTACCCAATCACAGCGCTGCCATTTTACAGTTCAGCCAATCACATTCTCCACCAAGTCTGTCATGGCAGCCGCACGCTATAGTTCTGCCCAATCACAACCACACCCTGTAGCAGCCCTGTCCAATCCTAGCTCTGCTCTATCATAGCCCTGCCCTATCACAGCTCTGACATAGCAAGGCCCCGCCCAATCACAGCCCTGCCCTGTTATCATCTGACAGAAGGATTCCGTACCGTGTGGTGACAGTGAGCGCAGCCCAGTGTGTCCCTCCGCATTGATCATGTGAGTATCCCGGGGCCGCGGGAGGGATTATCACCACCAGCCCTTCACTGGCTGACCGCGGACAGGTCATGTGACTGGGTCAGTGAGTTACAGGCCAGGGGTACAAATCATGGAAAGGGTTACATGGCACAGGGACAAGGGGTACAAGGCATGGTTACATGGCACAGGGACAAGGGGTACAAGGCATGGTTACAGGTCATGGCACAGGGACAAGGGGTACAAGGCATGGTTACAGGCCATGGCACGGGGACAAGGGGTACAAGGCATGGTTACAGGTCATGGCACGGGGACAAGGGGTACAGGGCATGGTTACAGGCCATGGCACGGGGACAAGGGGTACAAGGCATGGTTACAGGTCATGGCGAGGACAGAGGGTACAAGGCATGGTTACAGGCCGTAACACTTGAGGAACCAAAATTTGCAGAGCATGGTTACAGGTCATAGCGGCGGGGACAAGGGGTACAGGGCATGGTTACAGGCCATGCTTACGCGAGGACAAAGAGGTACAAAGAGCATGGATTTACAGGTCATAGCCTGCGAGGACAAGGGTACAAAGGCATGGTTACGAGCCATGGCACAGGGACAAGAATTTTCAAGGCATGGTTACAGGTCATGCAGGGGACAAGGGGGTACAAGGCATGCTTACTTACAGGTCATAGCACAGGGACAAAGGGGTACAAGAGCATGAATTTACAGGTCATGGCACAGGGACAAGGGGTACAAGGCATGCTACAAGTCATGGCACAGGGACAAGGGGTACAGGGCATGGTTACAGGTCATGGCACAGGGACAAGGGGTACAGGGCATGGTTACAGGCCATGGCACAGGGACAAGGGGTACAAGGCATGGTTACAGGCCATGGCACAGGGACAAGGGGTACAAGGCATGGAAATGGTTACAGGGTCTAGGGTAACTGGCTTACTACATGGCAGGTTTGCAGGCATTTCAAAGGGGCAAAAGTTGCAGTGTTTTGGCTGTTTGCAGCTGTTACTGGCATGGCAGAGGGTTACAGGAAGTCCTGTGTGTGTGTGTGTGTGTATCTATCTTCCTCCCTTCCTTCCTCACTCCCCCCACCCCCCCTGTGGGTCTTTATCAAGATCTTATGGGAAAGCATTGGATTGGTACAGGAAGCAGATCTGGGGCAGAGCCAGCACAAACAAAACAGGGACAAGGGGTACAAGGCATGGTTACATGGCACGACCAGTCAGCATCTCTTCATCAATGCACCTCTATGGGGAAAGTACAGTGTCTCCAAGCAGAGGGTGGAGACACTGAATGGCAATGCTGCTCACTGTGCAGCACTGCCCCAAGAAGCACCTCTAGCAGCCATCTGAGGAGTGGCCAGTGGAGTTATCACTAGACCAGTGGTAGGCAACCTTTTAGCAGCACTGTGCCGATATAGGATTGTGATGTCCCGTAGCGTGCCGGTTCTATTTTTTTAAATTGAGGTGTATGCTGCCGTATTCCTCTTGTTATTTTTACTGTAATTGCTTTGTATCGTTGTATTTGTGCGTATATGAGCTATTATATTGTATATGTTCATTAGTAGTTTATGGTATCGTGTATGATACATATGAATGTGGGCTGTGTATGAGGGCTGCTTGTGGACTTGTATGTGGATGGATTTGTTACATTGTGTATTTGGTAGTGTGTGCATGTGTGGGGCTGTTTGGGGTATTGCATGTGAAAGGCTGCATGTGGGGTTGTATGCATGTATGTGGATTGTTAGTGGCGTTGCGTTTGTGGGGAGTGTGTGTGTGTGTGGGCTGTTCATATTATTCGTTTTAGGGGAGGGTTATTCTGCAGCTCCGTGTATATCTAGCAGTACGGGTGGGTTCCCTGGGTTCCAGTGGGGACCAGGCTGGCCATGTACAGGTCAAGGACAGGACCTGCAATAGCTGTCGAGGGCTGCTCTACTACAGTGTGGATTCCCATTCACAAGTGCTGGGAGGAAGTGATCTGGGATCACTTCCTCTATGTGCTGCAATGCATAAATTGAGGATTGTCCTCCACCCCCTCTTCGTATTATCAGATATCTGAAGTTTTACTGGGACTCCTGATAGGCCAGAGTGCGTTTGGCTCTAGCAGCCTTGAGTGCCGTGCAAAGACACCTCAAGTGCCGTGCATGGCACTAGTGCCGTAGGTTGTCTACCCCTGCACTAGACTGTAATGTAAACACTGCCATTTCTCTGCAAATACAGTGTTTACTGCAAAATGCCTGAAGGGATGGAATATACTCACCAGAACAAATACATTAAACTGTAGTTCTGGTGACTATAGTGTCCCTTTAAACGTACAACAGTTTGTTTGTTTTTTCTTAATTGTAACTTTTTTTTTAATATTGAAATATAGAGAAGTGTGCTTTGGTGGTGGAGCGAGAGGGGGGTTTTTTTTTCTTTCTTTTTCTTTTTTTTTTTCTTCTTCAAATATGTTTCTTGGCTGTTCTGATGGTTGCACTGTAGATAGCAGATATTCAACCAAAACTGATTATTTGCCAATGATGTCAACTATGGATAGCTGCATAATTTCTTCTATTGTAATCTGTCTCTAATATACAGATTCTGTGTTTATTGTATTTCTGAATGAGTGACCTTTATTGGTTTAAGGCCTTAAATTATCAGTCGTCATCTTTTTCATTTATGTGAGTGCGTCACAGTTGGTTCCCAGACTTTGTTGGAAACTGAAATTTGTGGGGAAAGTGTTTTAAGTTGCATGCATTTCCTATTATACTTTACAAGAGGTGGATGAAAATACGGTAATTACATTGCGTGTCTTTTGCAAGACAATTGTTATACATTAGTGTGTGGTATTGTGTGTGTGTGTGTGTGTGTGTGTGTATATATATATATATAAATATTTTTTTTTATTAATAAAAAAAAAAAAAAATTCTCTAGGAGGAGGTGGGGGGGTAACTTTAAAATATATTAAAGGACCACTATAGTGCCCTGAGGGTGCCCCCACTCTCAGGGACCCCCTCCCGCCCGGCTCTGGAAAGGGGTTAAAACTTTTTTTCCAGCGTTGGGCGGGGAGCTCTCCTCCTTCTCTCCTCCTCCGATCCGCTCCGTCGGCTGAATGCGCACACGCGGCAAGAGCTGCGCGCGCATTCAGCCGGTCGCATAGGAAAGCATTTACAATGCTTTCCTATGGACGCTGGCGTGCTCTCACTGTGAAAATCAGTGAGAAGCACCAAGCGCCTCTAGTGGCTGTCAATGAGACAGCCACTAGAGGATTAGGGGGAAGGCTTAACTCATTAATAAACATAGCAGTTTCTCTGAAACTGCTATGTTTATTAAAAAATGGGTTAACCCTAGCTGGACCTGGCACCCAGACCACTTCATTAAGCCGAAGTGGTCTGGGTGCCTAGAGTGGTCCTTTAAACTGAGCCAGAAAGGAAATGGCATATTAACCTTTTAGGTGGTGAATTTAAAGAACTATCTCTTCCCCAAAACATCAGATATTCCTCTTTAACCCTTCAGTGACATCTAGTGTACCTTGGGTATTTGCTGTTTAAATTAATCCTGAACTGCATGAAACTCTTCTATTGTAGGACTAGTAGCATATATGTGTATGTATGTGTGTGTATGTTTCTTTCGTTTGTTCTGGGAGTTAGAGAGGAAGTTGTCAGGTATGGTAAAGGGACACTCTAAAGCAGAGGTGGGCAACCTTTTATATGCCAAGGGCTTTTTAGATATATAAAACTTCATTTGTGGAATATACACAATTATAAACTTAGAAATTAACCAGCTGTATTTGTCAAACATTTAATGGAGCACTGTAGTGCCAGGAAAACAAACTTGTTGAAGGTTTGTGTGAGACGTGGTGTAGTATGTGTCAGGGGTAGTGATGTCCCGAACGGTTCGCCGTGGACGGCGAACATAAACAAAAACTTTGACCTTGTACCTCACAGTCAGCAGACACATTCCAGCCAATCAGCAGCAGACCCTCCCTCCCACCTCCTGGACAGCTTCTATTTTACATTCATTGTGAAGCTGCATTCTTAGTGAGCTGTCCAGGAGGTGGGAGGGTCTGGGAGGGAGGGTCTGCTGCTGATTGGCTGGAATGTGTCTGCTGACTGTGAGATACAGGGTCAAAGTTTATGTTCGCCGTCTGCGGCGAACTGTTCGTGACATCACTAGTCAGGGGTCTATTTTTTTTTTTTTATTATATATTTTATTTTTATTTTTTTTAAAGAGGAAAAGAAAACTTTATGCATAACCACCCTCCCCATCATTGTTACCTCTGGCCTGGATGGAGAGGACATATCACTGCAATCCCTTATGGTCCAGTGGTTTTGTGTGCACTTTAGCCTGTAGCTTTTCTGGCTGCAGGCTGACTTAACTATTTTCTTCCCGCGAGCACAGTGTTGTCGGAGCGTTGCCATGGTAACACGCGGCAACGCTCTGACCTGCATCCTCACGGGAGTATCACAGCCTCTCCCTTAACAAACTGCCAGGAGGCCAGTGAGGGAGATCTCTGGTCAAAAATGATTTCGGACTGGATGTTCCCCACCCATGCT